GGGCCAACCATTAAATTGGGTCACTGCTTCATGTCGGATGTTTTCTTGATTTTTACACAGCTGTGGGCGAGTAACCAACTGGTATCAAACATATGTGTGATATCGAGTTCCAGGTCCGTGATTGGCTACTCCAGACTACGGTCAGACTATGACGGACTACTTTTGTGATTGTAATTTATTGATAAGTTAGTCGTACCTATAACAAAATAGTGCGTTTGGCTAGCGGACCGATGAATTGCAATCTAACTCAAAAACTAATAAACATATAATACTCAATGAAACGCTGATTATAATCAAAATAGCAGACCAACTCTGTGATTTGTTTGCAGAATTTATGACCTAAAATTAAAAAAGTTGTTTAACAAACTATCATTAAAATATTGACACAGTTCACTATTTGTTACGAGGGAGGAGTGCAGAGAAAGGGACAGCCAGGCGTTAGAGAAGCACGTGCACAAGTGCCCACAAAGTTATTGATTCATTAACCTGTGCTGTGCCGTCTCCATGCTTTCTCGCACACCCGGCTGTCCCTTTCTCTGCACTCCTCCCTCGTAACAAATAGTTAACTGTGTCGATATTTTTAGGACATAAATTCTGCAAACACCTCTCAGAGTTGGTCTGACGTTTTTGATTATGATCAGTGTTTCATTGAGTATTTTATGTTTATAGGTTTCGAGTTAGATTGCAATTCATCGGTCCGCTTTTGAGCCAAACGGACTATACATCTAACCCACTTACGTCTGTGTGGACAGTTTGTGGTTTAAAAGAGTTAATAAATGTTCTTTGGTCTTATGCCCGTGAAGATCCGGGTTAGAATTGACCTTCAGCAACCGATGCTTGTCGAAAGATCAACCAATGGGATCGGCTGGTTAGGCTCGCTGATTTGGACACATGTCATCGTATCCCAATTGCGTAGAGATCCTAAGACCTACAAAATCGAGGATGAAGGAGATCTGCCCCCCGTAGTTACACCCCTGATACACTGTCGGGTGTAGAGACCGTGTTTCAAAGATTACAACTTGCACCAGGGATAATCTACAGCATATGATCTTCTATTCTCCCTGTTTGCACTGTATCACCTCCACCTGATTCTCATCGTTCATCTAAATTTAAATAAAGGTAAAATTATCACAACACCTTCGAATGAAATTAACTACTTTGTCATGTTATTATCCGACTCATATAACACGAATTAGTTTTATTGGGGTGCTGCATATGCTTCGTTGATGTCGTATCGAGCTGTAGTGCACTGGTGCACGAATCATGGCGAGATTCAAGCATTCGTCAATATCCCGAACAGACCGTCTAAAATGATGGGTTTTAGTGATTTTATAGCGTACAGAACCGCTTGTGATGGGTTTTACTGATTTTAAATAGCACAACATAAAACATATTAACTGCATGACTTAGTGTGTCCGTCACTGTACGGATACGTCCTCAGTATAAGGGCATCTACAGGCAACCTCATCGTCAGATGAAGTAAAACATCGATTATAACGAACACAGAGATGTTACAAACAACGATATGTGTTTTCAAAGTGCTGTACTATTTACAAACATTTGGTATTGGATAAAGGTGATATACACAGGTTATAATAGACTAACGCTTAGTTTCTGAAAATATATATATACATGTATATGATTTTGATTGAAACAGAGAGTGTTCAATTGAAAACGAGCCCGAGTGAGATGGCAGATTCTGAACCTGAGGGAATCTAGACTTGGTTCAGGATTCTAGACTTGGTTCAGGGAATCTAGACTTGGTTCAGGGATTCTAGACTTGGTTCAGGGATTCTAGACTTGGTTCAGGGATTCTAGACTTGGTTCAGGGATTCTAGACTTGCTTCAGGGATTCTAGACTTGGTTCAGGGAATCTAGACTTGCTTCAGGGATTCTAGACTTGCTTCAGGGATTCTAGACTTGGTTCAGGGATTCTAGACTTGCTTCAGGGAATCTAGACTTGGTTCAGGGAATCTAAACTTGGTTCAGGGATTCTAGACTTGGTTCAGGGAATCTAGACTTGGTTCAGGGATTCTAGACTTGGTTCAGGGATTCTAGACTTGGTTCAGAGAATCTAGACTTGGTTCAGGGAATCTAAACTTGGTTCAGGGATTCTAGACTTGGTTCAGGGATTCTAGACTTGGTTCAGGGAATCTAGACTTGGTTCATTTGGGCTTTAACATTACAGAAAGGTCTGGGCGGGAGGGAAAATAATACGATTCAGGGACTGTGAGACAGACCAAAGTTGCAAAGTCTCTGTAAATTTTCAAAACGTAGTGTATAGAGATTCTTCATTTACTTACTAAACATCGGAAACATAACCCTGTAGGTGTATTGCTAAGTTAACATATATATATGTACAACGGCATATACATGGACAACATTGAATCCAATTTAAGAAAAATACAACATTTTCACAAAATATATTAATTTTTATCCTATCAGGAATCCGGATATTTCGAATAATCCAGCAAATTCAGGTTTACTCGGCCGTTAACTCGAAATGGTTTACGTTACTGTGATATAAGTGAGTGAGTGAGTATGGTTTTACGCCGCTTTTAGCAATATTCCAGCAATATCACGGAGCGGGACACCAGAAAAATGGGCATCACACATTGTACCCATGTCGTGGGGAATCGAATCCGGTTAAACGTTCTTCGGCATGACGAGCGAACGCTTTAACCACTGGGCTAGACTAACAGCTAGTCTCTGAAATGAACATATTTTACAGAAAAAAGCTCAAAGTGACAAAAATAAAATATAATGAAAAGGAGCCCTGAGACTTTCTTCTGAAGCTGTGGAAATCTAGACTTGCCACGTTTTCTAGACTTGTGTGGGTTTTCTTGGATATATATTTGCTTCAGGGTCTACAGTGATATAACAGAAGCATACAGTATATGGCTGACTCGATAGACTGTCTTGACTGGTAACCAGAAGTCCTGTGTTAACACCACGGCATATCCGTTGTTCCTGATATGAGGAGTGACGAGGTGTGACCTTGGGTTTATTTTTTTTAAAATTTGTCCCAAAAACAGAACTTTGAAAAATACAGAAAAATATTGTGATAAAAATATGTGTTAGCTGTTGCTGTCACAGAAACAAAGGAGGCGACAACCAGTCTGACATAACAACTCTCACTCATACTACTGGTTACTGCAAGCTCAGCTATTTTTATGAAACTGACTTTAACGTGACCCAAAACGCAGTGACATAATACTGCCAATTATGCTTATTTTTAAAAATCCGTCTATTAGTCACCGATACGGACATATTCGGCTGATGACACAGTCGGGTGTATCTAGAATCTGTCAGTCTCAGATTTACAAACGTTGATATCTTTGGCCAAGTGAGTTGAGTTGAGTTGAGTTAGTGAGTGAGTTTAGTTTTACGCCGCACTCAGCAATATTCAAGATATATGGCGGTGGTCTGTAAATAATCGAGTCTGGACCAGACAATCCAGTAATCAAAAGCATGAGCATCGATCTGCGCAAATGGGAACCGATGACATGTGTCAACCAAGTCAGCAAGTCGATCTCGTCAGTCGCCTCTTACGACAAGCATGGGTTACCGAAGGCTCATTCTAACCCGGACCTTCACGGGTCTGAGGTGAGGTGAGGTGAGGTGGGGTTTAACGTCGTGCTTGAGAATATTTCGCTCATATGACGACGTACATGCGTGTGTATGTGTGGCTGCTTGTACTAGCCCAGACTTAAGCTGGTTTTATAGTGCCAGCTCACTGAGATACCATGCCGCATTTAAGCATGAATACCCCACTCAGACACATCATACTGCCTCGAGCCGACCAGTCCTTGTTGTACCCATTAATGCCGAGCGCCAGGCAGGAATCAACAAGTACCACATTTTAACGTCTTTTGGTATGACGCGGCCGGGGATCGAACCCGCGACCTTTTTCTTCTCGCCCATGAGTGAGTGAGTGAGTGAGTGAGTGATAGGGAGGGTGAGTGAGTGAGTGAATTGCCTTTCAACAAGGTGAACGCTGACGTTTACAACTTTTGTGACGGATACAGGATTACAACCCATTATTAGAGGATCCAAGGGATGCAATTTACCGTTTAGAAACGACAAGTGAAACATATAGTATGTAGATGTAATTAACCTTTTAAGTTGGTTATACTAAAAAAACACCTTGTGTGTTACTTATTGGTTAAATGTATCGATTAAAATACCAATTTAAAGTGTAATGCTGTCAAATCAAATTTCTGTCAACTGAATAAGAAAGTGTTTAACAGTACTGTGCAGATATTGATAGTCCCTACTTCATCTATTAGCTGCTCAGTTTTTATTCTGTTTAATGCTAACACAGAGACACACTACCTCCCCGAATCCCAAATTCAAGTTGTACAAAGGACACATTTGCAGAAAACGGTATTTATTAATCACCAACATATCTCAGCATAAATGCCATAGGGATCATATCTTCAATGAAATGAGGCCAAAGGTCGACTTATCTTGGATACCCGGCATCTGTGAGAGGAAATACGGTAATTCTACCGTTTTCAGTGTATTATTCCGGGTTAACTAAACATAAGTACATGCTGATATTTCAAAGTATGTAAGACGGACCCATCAATGATCGCCCGGAATGCGGAGTTTCCGTAATAAGGAGGTCCTGGCTTACAAGGGTCTTCTGCGGACATAACGCAATAAGATCTAAAGTTATCAGGTTGTCGGAGGAGTGTGACGTCAGAGCCTTGTAAGAAGGCGGATATTCAAAATTATAAGCTTCCTGTTCTTCGTAAACCTGCGTCGATCAGAGGGCGGGAGTTTCAGGCCCAAACGTTGCTAATTGCCGGACATACTGGGCTTCAAGCTTCCATACCGCGCACGTGACGAGAGGAGGAACTACATTCTCGTAAACATGTGTCTTCTCATCCGAAAGTCTTAAGCTGAGCAAATCAAGTCCTTTGAATCCAGTTGGAGGCCCTCCGGGATTGTGATGAAGTGACGGGCTTGAATCCACAGCTTTGAAATATGTGAGCATTGTTTTGAAATACCTGCTGGTGTGGTATCATAAATAACCCCATATTGAAGTTAACTCATGGGGATGTTTGGAATTCCTTGCCCACCTTGGTGCCGCCTGTTGGAATGACACGAGGCGACCAGGACCGCCTACAGTTCAGATAGCCTTCAGACGCGTCATATTGTTTTATGAGCGCTAATTGTGCACGCCTGATTTAGATGACCCTCCCCCTCTTCCTCAACCCCTCCCTCCGCTTCCTACACCCTCCCGGCAATCTCTGGACGAAGCAGAGGAATTTGGGCAGCTCCGGTAACACGACACTGTGCACCGTCGCCCTTTCGCTGTTGAGGATGACGACAATCTAGCAGATAACACGCCCGCTTAATGATCCTTTGTGTTTCTCGTGATCGTCTTCTTGGGTACACCTTCGGGAGGGACTGAGGCCGTTAAAAATCCACTCAAAACTCTTGTAATTCAAAAATATTTCGTTGGAACAGTTACAGGCTGGATCGTTGACATTTCCTACCTGGATCCACGTCCCGAGCATCGTGTCCTTTGGAATTATTTGTGTCGTCTGCGAGTGTCGTCTGCGAGACGCTATGAGGTCAACTGGTTTTCTGCTTATCGTTCTACAGATTGGTAAGTGTTAGGTTGCAAGAATTTCAATTGCTCTGAACACGTAAGACTGGTGTCGGGCTACGGTTATATATATACTGTGTATCAGTTTTCTTATATAACTCACAGTGCACGGTAATATACAGTTACGTCCGCAGCCATTAATACTTTGCTTTTCTTAACGGTTTCCGCTTAACGGGATTGGTGTCCTTCAGCAACTTCCCTCGTGTAGTTGTAACCGCGTGCTTGTCTTATCGAACCCCGTTATTAAGTCTTCCCTGTATTTCATTCTTACCGTAAATGTGCAGAGAAATTGATTCACATTAAACAGATGATTGCGTCAATTATTCGAAACACTAGATGTACTGCTTTGTAGATCGATTTCAGTTTTTGCGCAAGGGTTTGATGTTTTGTCTATAATATTTCGTTCATAGAAGTCTAGGAGTGTGGACTACAACTAAAGCAGTGTGCTCACAACTTAAACGGGTTGAAAACGTAATACGCGATAGTATTTTGCATATTTCAGTCAATATTAATGACATGATTTTGCTTTGTTTGTTTGTTTGTTGTTTAACGGACTCAGCAATATTCCAGCTATATGGCGGCGGTCTGTAAATAATCGAGTCTGGAACAGACAATTCAGGAGCATGAACATCGATCTACGCAATTGGGATACGATGACATGTGTCAACCTAGTCAGTGAGCCTAACCGTCTGATCCCATTAATCACCTCTTACGACAAGCATGGGTTAGTGAAGACCAATTCTAACCCGGATCTTAATGGCATAATGTCCGGCTAACTAATTTTTTCTGTCAGTTTCACCTTTTCGGTTGGAAGACGTTTCCATCTTTCAAAAAACATAACGTGTAAGACAGAAACATGCTATTTGATTCTGTTTAGAAAACTGGGAACACGTGAAAACAATATCTGGGTTGTTACAATTAATTGTGTAGAATAGATATTCCACTGAGCATCCCCTCTGTAATAAATTTTCTTTGGGTAAAATAAGGGCGCAAAATACCTAAATAACTGTTACTCCTTAATTCAAAACAAAAGTCGTGAAATTTGTCAGTCGTCTCAATTTACCCAGACTAACAACTAGTCTCTGAAATGATCATATTTTACAGAAAAAGTTCATATTAAAAACATAAAATATAATGAAAAGGAGCCCTGAGACTTTCTTCATTTTCAGTCAGCTGTGGAAATCTAGACTTGCCACATTTTCTCGACTTGCGTGGGCCTTCTTGGATATATTTGCATCAGGGTCTGTTTGTCAGACTACAATTTACCATTTGTAATGATATTTGTAATTCCTCTTATTGTAGATTTACCCATTTTCTAGACTGCCATTTAGTCTCTGAATATATATAGTTTTTTATATAGAAAAAAAAACAAGTCCTTTTATAGTGAAAAGGAGCCCCAATGAGAAGGGTGATTCAGAACCTGAGGAAATCTAGACTTGCTTTAGGGCTTTTAGCATTGGGAAGGCTAAATGATGGGAAACTATTGCGGTTCAGTGACTGAGACACAGACTACTTCTTTTCCTGTTTTTGTCACTATTTTAACATTTTTTAAAGATGTATTAATTTGCGGGGTGTTTATATTTCGGTGGGCCTTTTTGTGAAAATTGACGTTCGAAACACATCCACCTTGCGAGCACGTGGTTCGTTACTTTTCTCATCTTCATCATGTTCCCGCGGATATCCGTGAAATGATCTTCAGCAAATGGACCCGTGAAGATCCGAGTTATAATATTGATCTTCAGTAACCCATGCTTGTCGTAGGAGCCTATCGGGTGGTCAGGCTCGCTGACTAGGTTGACACATTTCATCGGTTCCCAATTGCGCAGATCGATGCTCATGCTGTTGATCACTGGATGGTCTGACCCAGACTCGATTATTTACAGACCGCCACCATATAGCTGAAATATTGCTGAATGCGGCGTAAAACTAAACTCACTCTTCAGCAAATGCATGCTTGTTGTTAGAAGCGGCTACAGGAACTGGATGGTCCCAGCACTTGCTTGGTGCATATCAATGTTGCTTTAACGAACTTGAGAAGATCCGGGTTAGATTTGATCTTCACCAACCCATGCTTGTCATAAGAGGCGACTAACGGGATCGGGAGGTCAGGCAAGGTTGATGCATGTCATCGTTTCCCTGCAGAGTAGAGTGAACCTCCTGACGTCAGCCACAGTATTATCTGGCCCAGACTCGAATTCTTATAAACCGCCGCCATATAGCTGGAATATTGTTAGTTACGGCTTGAAACAACAAACAAACAAACAATAGTTGCGTTTATCGATGATCATATCAATCACGGTATTGTCTGGTCCAGATTAACTTTTTGTAGAGACTTGAAATACTGAGTACGGCGTTAAACAACAAACCAACAACGTTTGCCCATAATCTACTCATACACAAACAACAGTTATTTCAGTAGTGTGGCTGTGATTTTTAGGTTATATTTGTATGCGACAAAGTATAATTTCATTCCGTGCATGAAGAAACCGTACTTTTTTCACAACACGCTTTTCACAATATCCGATGCACAGGGAATAATTTCAGTTTTTCCTGAAAATATATGCTTCCAGGTATTATTTTTAACAATTTACTTTTAAAAAAGTCTCCTCCCCATAGAATCAATGATCGTTACTTGTGACGTTTAGGGACCGACCCTAGGAGGGACATGAGGATTTTAAAAGGGTCCTGGGGGGGTCAACACATGTCGGGTGGGGGAACTTTGTACATAAATGGGTTAAAAATTTATGCTTAAAAACTATGGAGGGGTCCACTGATTTTGTACATGATATGACGGGGGAACTTACTTTGTACGTAAATTTTTGGGTGTGTGTGGGGGGGTTCATTCAAATCGTACAAGTTCATCCATACAAATCACCCCACCCACCCCCTAGCCATAGATTATGAACGGTCCCTTAGTTTAAATCTAGTCGTGGAATCACGAACATTTTCCAGCACGAGTACAGTTTTATGTAAGTAGCTATAGATTCGGGCGGGAGTTGGGATGGGCGGGAAAGTACTGCAAATCTCGTACGGATATATCAAGGAGCTGTGTATCCCAGTGATTAAAACATATCCGGATCATGTGACCGCCGTGGTGTCCAGATAAATAAATTTGTAAACAATTTCGTCATCTGTTGACAAGTTATGATATGAGTCATAATGCTGTCCTCAGATGCTGATTGGCTGTCATACTCACGAATTAAAAAAAGATATTTAAACTTTAATGAAGTTATTTTGATTCTTACCATTCGAAAAAGTTACTCCTTTGAAAAAAATGTTCTTTCCAATTATTTATTACTTTTATTAAATATATGTTAACTTAAACGGTATGCGTCTAAAATATTTGTGATCAGCCATAATAAAATAATTATTTGTAGTTATTAAATTATGACAGTGCGTGTTGAATTTTTGAAAACACCGTACCACACTATGGATAAAAATACATGTATTACACACAGTTCTCATACGACACCTTGTGAGTCCGATATTAAAGCCAAGAAGTCAAGGCGAGAATATCCGCCTGCAGCAGCAGTGTTGTTGCATTGCTATTCTAATCTTAGTCTCAATACAAGCGGTCTCCCTGTGTCGTCTCCGTTTTCAAAGCCTAATGATGATATTGTTGCTCAAATTAGAGTTAATGTCTAGCGGTCGACGTGGGAAGGGAAATAGGAGGTATGCAGTATACAAGCTCGATCTGGGCGTGACCCGGAAGTGCGGCTTGTATGGTCGCGATAGATAGACTGTCGAGGCGTAACGTCGAACTGCGTGCTGCACGTGCAGTCCATGCAAATTGTGATATTTGATTGTGTATTATTAGATGGAAGAGCCTTGACATTTCTCGGTCGTGGAAAGAAAGTAACGAGAGAAATTTACAAACAGTTTGACTTTTCATTTAACGAGGAAGTAATCTCTTTAGTCGTAAGGTCATATTGCCTGTATTACATTCTGATTAAGTTTGTGTAAATCTCATTGGCGGACTGCACGTGCAGAATACATAATAATTTCCGTCAAACTTAATTTTTGAGTTTATGCTGCATGCGTCCACGTGATCAAATGACGACGTACCATTGGACAAGAGCCATTAGTTGAACTTTGACGCTTTCAATATGTTTACAGCAATATGGCGGTGACGGGAAATCGTCTTGAATAAATATATCCGAAGTAGCAACTGACAGGCGGATGCCACATTAGTCAGGGTGACAACCCCTCCTTTTATTTAAAGTATTTATACAAATTTTGTGAATTTGAAAATGTTTGCAATATCATGATGAAAATCGGTATCAGCATGATAGGAAAATTGTACAGATGTGTCAAAGTCTGCTGTAGCGAAAACCACGAACAATCCGTATATACCCATAGTAGTCAATAATCAAGATAATCTTCGTGTTCATAGTGATAACGACTTACTATAATCACATACCACCTTCGACTTATCCGATGTTCGAGACATCCGGAATTCCAGTTTAAGACCATCTTTCTGCCAGGATATCCCGTCTTCACAAACGATACTTCAAATTAAAGGATATTGAGATATAGAGTACGTCATATAATTGAAAATCAGTGAGTGAGTGAGTAAGGTTTTACGCCGCTTTAAGCAATATTCCAGCACCAGCAATAACACGGCGGGGGACACCAGAAATGGGCTTCACACATTGTACCCATGTGGGGAATCGAACCCGGGTCTTAGGCGTGACGAGCAAACGCTTTAACCTCTAGGCTACCTCACCGCCCCTATTTGAAAATCAAATATTTAATGTTTATTCATAGCGAATTAAAAAAATCGATACCAAAAATCCCGAAAAATACAATCACTTAATTTTCGCGATAAACCGCACATTAATTCAAGTGCAGTCAGCTACGTTTATAACGAACACACATATAACGAACCGACGGATATTATGAACAGGTTTTTCGCTTCCGACCTCTTGCTGTACAGTTTAGTCGAAGTGCGTATAACGAACTACGGGTATAACGAAGTATAATAAGTGATCTCTTTGAGTTCGTCAGAACAGTAGTGTAATGTATTTGGAAAACAAAGACCCCAGTTTCAGTAGTCAAGTGGTTAAAGCGTTCGCTCGTCACGCCGAAGACCCTGGTTCGATTCCCCACATGGGTACAATATGTGAAGCCCATTTCTACTGTCCCCCGCCGTCATGGTGCTGGGACAGATCTTAGAAGTGAGTGAGTGAGTTTCGTTTTACGCCGCACTCAGCAATGTTCCAGCTATATGGCGGCGGTCTGTAAATAATCGAGTCTGGACCAGACAATCCAGTGATCAACAGCATGAGCATCGATCTGCTCAACTGGGAACCGATGTTATGTGTCAACCTAGCCAGCGAGCCTGACCACCCGATCCCGTTAGTCGCCTCTTACGACAAGCATGGGTTACTGAAGGTTCATTCTAACCCGGATCTTCACGGATCTGGGGATAGATCTAAAAGCGACGTAAAACCAGACAATTACGCACTTTGACAATAATAAAATATTTCCAGCCATGACTGTGGATGTGTGATTCATTAGTGCCCCACATCACGTGTCTATGATGTCCTAACCGATGATGCCATGTTTGACAGCTTGCTAGGGATGGTATTGTTTTAAATGTCAACAGAGATGGAATCGGGAAAAACAAACACGTTCAGTTTGACCTCCTGTGTCCTCTGACCCTACGTGTGGGAACCTCCTGTCTGTCAGGGTTGTTGCCAAACAATTCATTATAGTGGGAGCGGTCATGTTTACTGTCGAGATAAGTGCACTCCAATTAACAAATTAAAGTGTATTGAAATTCATAGTTTCAAGGGCCTTGGTATCAAAACAAATTGACCGTATTGGGAACTACGAAAATATAAGACGGATATTACGAATTTTTCCCCTGCCACTTGTGTATGTTTCAGTCGAATTGCGTATAACGAACTTCTGTTATTGCGAACTAAGACCAGTGGGCACTTGGGTGAGTGAGTGAGTTAATATTTAACGTCACATCGGCAATATCTCAGCCATATCGTGACAGTGGGCACTTGAGTTCGTTATTACCGGAGTTCATTGTTTGTATCGAACACTATGTGCAATATTTATGTTAGTGAGTGAGTGAGTAATATTTTACTCGGCTTTAAGCAATATTCCAGTAATATCACGGTAGGGGACACCAGAAATGGTCTTCACACATTGTACACGAGAGGGGAATCGAACCCTGGTCTGCAGCGTGACAAGCGAACGCTTTAACCACTAGGCTACTTTATGAGCCCTTTACTGATTAACATGAAGCTAGCTTGTCCGCATTGGGATCAGGTGATAAGTCTCAATAACAGGGGAGAGGTGACCAAATCTTCTTACACGGAGCAATTCGCCATGCAGAGTTGTGTCCCTTAGGCGAGCAAGGAACCGAGTATTCTAGTTTATAACCTGGGAATCCGATAGAATTGCTACCCGTGACTTATTATTCAGTTTGCCAGTAAACTGGCCCAGCTTTAGTTGCTGGTGGCTAACCAGTGTTTTATGCGTGTAATAAATACCGTTAATGTTAAAATGTTTACATGTATATTAAATTTCCTTTCAAAAATAACTTAACTCTGGACTCATTTGTGTATGTATGTAAGCGTGTTCTTGTCACACTGATCACTCACTCACTCAATCACTCACGGGTCATTTGTTGTTGGCCCAAAGATATCAACGTCGGTAAGTCTAGATTTTTGATACAATCGACTGTGCCGTCAGCTGAATATGTCCGTAAAGGTGACTAATAGCCGCATTTGTCTTTTGGTATCTTAAACTGACTGACTGACTGACTGAGTTTTGGTTTTACGCCGCTTTTAGCAATATTCCAGCAACATCACGGCGGGGGACACCAGAAATGGGCTTCACACATTGTACCCATGTGGGGATTCGAACCCGGGTCTTCGGCGTGACGAGCCAACGCTTTAACCACTAGGCTACCCCACCGCCTCTGGTATCTTAAAAAAGATGTAGCTGTAAACCATCTGTGTTGTGTTGCTGGGGTTTGGTTCATGTTAAAGTCTGTTTCATAAAAACAGCTAATCATTCAGTATTGAGCAAGGATATCCTTAATCATGCTAACAAGGATGCACTACTCACAGTACGAAATGAAACAAAACAATTAAAGTTAAGGCGTCCACTGTTCTTATTGACCGAAAGCTTCCTTGTTTTGATGATGCTACTTGAAACTACGCTATTGTTGATCTGTCAAGGACACTAACAGGGCGTTATTTCACGTAAGCCAAACTGACAAGGAAATCCATCGTAAACACACCCGCTAAGATCCGGGCTAGAAGTGATCTTCAGCAACCACCCATGCTTGTCGTAAGAGGCGACTAACGGGATCGGGTGGTCAGCCTCGCTGACTTGGTTGACACATGTCATCGTATCATAATTGCGTAGATCTATGTTCATGCTGTTGATCACAGGATTGTCTGGTCCAGACTCAATTATTTACAGACTGCTGCCACATAGCTGGAATATTGTGGCGTTAAGCAACTAGATCTGGCTAAAATGACCGATAATCGGAAATATGATTACAAGTATGAAAATTGTATTATCGTTAATATCGTACATCAACCTTTGTGATAATGTTTTTTAAATTTACGCAAACAAAATAGAGAGGTAGATCTTTATGCATGGGCTGCTTCTAAATCATGTTAAAGACGCTGTGTTGTTAGCAACTCATGCATAAACAAGTCAACACTCACAAGTGATGTGAAATATATTGATTTCTTTCAGACTTTTTTGGCATTTTTGCTAAAAGTTACTTCTTCGATATTTATCGTTAATCAATCGATATTTGGTTCACGATTATCGATATCTATGAACTATATCGACATCCAGCCCCACAAACAACAAACAAATCAATCGCTTCAGTGTTGTCTGTATTGCAGTATTTTACAGCCGCTTCATATTTGTTTCAGTGAATGGGAATCTCTTGGACACGACGACGTTAAGTCCCTCTGACACAACGCAGTCAGGTCAGTTCATGATTGTAGATGTAATTTTATATGAATGAGTGAGTGAGTTTAGTTTTATGCCGCTTTTAGCAATATTCCAGCAATATTACGTCTTCACAAATTGGGCTTCACATATTGTACCCATGTGGGGAATCGAAGCCGGGTCTTCGGCGTGACGAGCGAACACTTTAACCACTAGGCTACCCCACAGCCTTTTACATTAATTATTCTGGTATTTGGGTTTAGCCCCAAATGATGCGAAGACGTGTTCTTGATGTTTTGCTTACTGCAGGTCAAAGACCTGAAGGTATAATATTCGTAGCACATGTTATATTTTGGATTACACTTTCTCAGTATAGTACAGAGTCTTGTACTTTTGTCTGGTTGAGTCCCATCCGGGATTCAAACCCACACCCTCAGAGTCATAATCGTCAGCACACAAAGCAATAAGTGATAAGCAAGTCCTTCGTAATATCAAGCTTCCTCGGCAACACACCCGTCAAGATCCGGGTAAGAACTCGTATTCACCAACCCATGCTTGTTGTAAGAGGGATCGGGTGGTCAGGCTCGCTGACTTTGTTGATACAAACCAACCAACCAACCCCAACCCCAACAACCAACCCCAACCCCAACCCCAACCCCAACCCACCCGGGAAGTTTGACTGAGGTTTTGGAACCCACAATCAGAGATTCCTGGCACAGTTAAGGGATATAACTCTGCTTAACTAATAGCGATGCCTGACTCTACTGCCCTCCTCAGTTGTGTAATGCCTATGTTGTAGATCCCTGCACAGCCAGTCATGAGATTGCCTCAGCTGACAGAGTTGTCAGCAGTGACGTCACCACCGGCAGATGCGACGACAACCTCAACGCCGGCTGGTATAAATTCACCGTCAATAATGTGGCCGCCACGTTACCCACTGTCTGCCTCAGGGTGAGAAGCTTTGCTCTTCTTTATTCATAACAGTTTATGTTGTAAAAATCCAAATAGCCTAGAAAACAGAGCAACATTGTGTTTGGTCAGAATTTATCCTTTGACGAGTTTGTCTTGGGATCCGTTCCACAGAGCGATGTAATACCCAAACTTTAACATACTCTTACGAGTGAGTGAGTATGGTTTTACGGCCCTTTTAGCAATATTCCAGCCAGACTACGGCGGGGAACACCAGAAATGGACTTTACACATTGTACCCATGTGGAGAATCGAACCCGGGTTTTTGGCTTGACGAACGAACGCTTTAACCACTAGGCTACCACAACGCCCTACTCTTATGATTGGCGTTGCGCTTTCAATCGCTTTGTGAAACGTGACCCTTTGTTTGTGCTCACACCCATAGTCTACCAGTCATATCTCGCTTAAACATACACAAGGGTAAAACATTTTCCATCGATTTTTATGGATTGCTATACATTGCTGTCTTATATGTCCATATTTTGAAATCTTATATTGTTGAACTTAGCAGCCTGTGTAAAGTGTTTGTCTGAATATGACCTCCAGCTGGACTATCGCGTTTAACAAAAAAAACAAAACAAGCTGAGCATGACGCCACCGATACCTTTTTCCGTGTCTACTGTACCGAGGTCACTGGCATCAGAGACCGTTCATGTTCTTGGGGAAACATTTTGGCACATGTCATGGAGGGTATATTGGTCAAGGTCACCGCATATGCTCAAGGGGCATAGTGGTTATATGGACATGACATATTGTATTGGCATGTGTCAAAGGTCAAGGTCACATTTGAGCAGCTGCTTCACTCAAACAAGATAGTTGAGAAAACAACAGACAGTTTTTTTGTCAAATCCTCAGACTTGATTGGAGTTGGATGTTTTGAAGTTTTCTTCAGTAAGATCAACTTCTGTACTGTACCCGACCGGAAGTGAAATTATTATTTGTTAAAATTTGACACGATTTGTCACGAATGGCTCTGTTTCAGCCTGGGGCCTGTGGAGCCGATGTGTCCTTGAGGATTGACCTTGGTGACCAGTCCCTCCCAGACGTTGGGGAGGAGGTACAAGCGTGGTCATGCGGGGCATACGACATCCTCGGCAAGTTTGACTGCTGCGTTCTTCGACAACCAGCAAGGATAAGAAACTGTAGCAGCTTTTTAGCGTACCAGCTTCAGAAGCCAGACCGTTGTGACGTGGCCTACTGCGTGGAACGTAAGACATTGACTTCACTACTTCACTGCGACACTTCACCTGTGAAGACCCGGGTTAGAATTGGCAACCCAAGGCGACTTACGGAATCGTGTGGTCAGGCTCGCTGACTGTTGATACACGTCATGCTATCCCAATTACGTAGATCAAGCCTCATGCTGTTGATCACTGGATTGTCTGGTCCAGATCCATGTTTTACAGACCGCCTACATTTAGCTGTAATATTGCTAAGTACGGTGTTAAACACCAAACAAGCTTAAACACATTCTTAAACACGTTGGTTAAGATGTCTGTATTTACAGTCAAAGTCACTGATTTTCTTGAGGCACGTGTACATTTTGATAATTCCACATTGCATCTTAAAATCATCCATTTTCCATGGAAACCTCGAAAGCTGAACATCTCCCGTGTATTAAAGCTTGGTAATTCTTGTTTTTAAAGTCCAAACCGCGAAAGGTGAGAATGAAGCTCTCGTGTTGCATATTTTATATTTTAGTTTGTTTTGGTTGTTTTTTTAACTAAACAACTCTCCCGTCGCTGCTGAGTTCTCCTAACACACGGCAGTGTGTGTAAGCCCGATAGATAATAGATAATATACACAGGCTGTTCATATAATGAATTGACCATTATTGACATAGTTAGCTAGTATATCGTTTAGGTTATACTTATGTACAAGTTGCAGCATATTGTATATCGGGGATTTTCTGCTATATACATTGCATGTAGGAAACTATCTGTACACATAAATTGACCAAGGCGAACTAGAGAAACAATTACTTCTAAAACACAGTTATACTTTTTGCATTACATAACTTTCCTAATAGGTAGAGGGCTCTTTTTATCTATGTAATACTGTAGTGGCATGATACCGATACAATCCAATACAACAATACTGGGAGTGCGCTTGTGTAGTCCCTGAACTTTTTTACAAAATTGTCGTTGTACAACTTCAAGAGTATTTCATACTACTTTAAGAGGAAGTTTACCCCATACGTTACATCCATAGAGAGCCACATGATAAGATTACCCTCTCCCAGATACGTGCTGCAGATATTGGGTTAAGACCTCCAAAATACAATCCATTATTATGATTAGTGTTCATGAGTACTCGTAGCTTTTTCACATGCAGATTTTGTACGTTCAAGTGATGATTTATCTGTACTGAGATATACACCTGCATATTTAATAGATTTCCTTTGTGGAACATGTATATCACCAATTAATACATTACTGATGTTAACGTTATTGTTTGAGCATTCAAAGTGTAGAACCAACACTTTGCTTACATTATATTTTAGCTGCCATTTATGAGCATAAGTTTTTAGCGACATCGAGAAGATTTTGCAGGCCTTTGGTAGAGGAACTCATCAGAGTAGTGTCATCAGCAAGAAGAATCCCAGGGCATTTACCCCATGGCAAAAATTAAGCCAGAATCTGAATTCCCAAGTTCCATATAGGAGGTCATTAATAAATAATGTGAATAGCCAGGCGGACATTAACTCTACCTTTGGCCTACTCCTTGATTGACGGGGAATGTATCCGATTTATACCCTTCAAAGCATACAAATGATTTCATGGAGCTATAGGAGAGCCTTAATATTCTCCATAGATTTACCCGTTATTCCAATATCCATACAGTTTAATAAATAAGCCATCAAGCCACACCCGATCAAATGCCTTTTCATTATCTAAGAATGCACAGTATACAGGCGATATCCTTTCATTGTAATATGCAATGTTTTCTTTTAATGTCAGTACGGCGGTTTCAGCACCATAGTGACGCCCTAAATCCAAATTGCAGAGGATGGGGAAATTCTATCTTAGTATCTATCCAGGACTCTATTCTGTTAAGGAGAAGTCTTTCAAAGAGTTTATTAACACAGAAGTCATGGTTATTCCTCTATAATTGGCAGGGTCATGTTTGGTTTTACCGTTGCCCTTGTGTATTGGAAGAATTTGACCTATAGAAAATGATTTAGGAATGTATTCAAACGTAATAATGGCATTGAATAGTAAGGCAATATGATGCAGCAGCGATCTACCAGCCCTTCTTTATGTGCTCATTCACTATACCGTCAGGACCAGGCGACTTTCGTACTTTTAGTCGTTTTACTTCTTGAGGCACGTGTACATTTTGATAATTCCACATTGCATCTTAAAATCATCCATTTTCCATGGAAACCTCGAAAGCTGAACATCTCCCGTGTATTAAAGCTTGGTAATTCTTGTTTTTAAAGTCCAAACCGCGAAAGGTGAGAATGAAGCTCTCGTGTTGCATATTGTTGTTTTTTTAACTAAACAACTCTCCCGTCGCTGCGAGTTCTCCTAACACACGGCAGTGTGTTATAAGTAATATACACAGGCTTTATATTCATATATTATTGAGGGTCTGCCCAACCTTCTGAACAACATTCATGTTTAAGCCCGGGCTTTTTTGATATTGGTAGCTACGCCCCTGTATACTGTTAAAGGCGAAGGTGAAAGTCATCAATTTTGTTCTTTTCAGATCCTGAATTGAAAATTCCGCCGAATGTTCTCGTGAAGTATGGAGAAGACGTCTCCCCACAAAGCACCACGCCATCGTCGTCAACGGTGACTACTCCAGATTTCCATAACCGTGAGTGCTTTGATTGCCTGTTACCTACACCAGACATAAGTTTTTCAGAGCCTGTTACTTATAATCAAATCATTTGAAATATCGAAATCCACGATCTTGACACAAAAATAAAGACGAAATACTTTGCCTGTAGAATCCTTCTGAGCAATACACTAACTTCTTCTCATCGAAGATCCTAACCTGAAGCTCCAGACCACTTAGTCCTGTCGAAAATATACGGGATATTAGAATATTATTCTAAAATAATAGAATAAATAATGATGTTATTGACGTGGATCAGGTTTTTATATGAAACTGAGTTATTTTAAAATGGACCAACTGTTTGATATGACCTGGAAGATGGGGAGATGAACGGGCAATACAACACCACCCCAACCCTGCAAAAAAGAAATGAAAATATGTAAATAAAAAATTATAAAAAGGTAAAGAAATCTTTAGATAATTAAATGAATTAATGTACTAACAAAAAAATATTAATTATACAAGTAAAACAAATGTTCAAATAAGTAAAAATAAACAAATAAAATCATAATAATATCATATATATGTATCTATGTTATTATGTTCACCCCACTCCAAAGTCATCCCGATTCCTTTCCTCGCCCTTCCCTTCCAGAATATTAAATAGTTTGTCCCTATGTCATCAATTCTCTGATGTTTCTTGTTTCTTAATTTCCTGTTCCTGTATCCTTGTCTTTCCTGCTGATTAATACTATATGTATTGTATAATTATATCTGTTCTGTAGTAATATCTATTATAGAAATCACGACCGTTGCTGTTACCGTAGTTCCTGTGATAATATCACAGTTTTCCCTGGGTTGGGCAACCTAGGGTTAGAATAAACCATTCACAGTTTGTACACGTCTTAGGAGACGATTTTGCTTTGTTTGTTGTTGACTTTCATTTTCTTTATTGGTTTTCGTCGTTTTGTTGTTGTTTTCTGTTTATTGTTGTTTTAATTTATTTTATTTGTATCTTATTTTATTATTATTATTATTATTATTATTATTATTATTATCATAATTTATTTATTTATTTTGTATTTTCTTTATTTATTCATTTATTTTGTATTTTCTTTATTTATTAATTTTATTTATTTATTTTTATTTTATTTATTTTTATTCTATTTTATTTTTATTTATTTAAAAAAAAAATAAATTGCCCCCTCCTAGGACAAACATGGGTGGCTGAAGGCCAGTTTTAACCCGTATCTTCAAGAGTAAAGAGACGTCGTAATAGATCGGGTGGTCAGTTGGGCAGCATGGTTTATCGCGTATCCGGTGGAGTATCTTTGTCCACAATATCAATCACTGGTTCAGATTCGATCGTTCACAGACTGCCGTCATATAGTTAAAATGTCTCAGAGCGGAGTGTGAAACAACAAACTGACTAGCAGACTGTCAACACAACATAATTAACATTGAAGTATTAGAACATATCAAGAAATTCCGAACCCTATTTGAAGAAATATATTGCAGGAACTACGGTACCAGACTGCATGACTACTTGCAATAAGCGTCAAATGTGATTCCGATTATCCGACTGAGAGAATTTCAAAGGGTATGGAAAATCTAGGGTGTCTTTAAAGTGACTTGAACCAAGTTCACACACTCGTTGTAAACACTGACTGATTAATGTAATACCAAGCGTTGTTGGGAGGTGGTTTTATGCAGTGAAGTTTTATTTCCAGTCAAATGGTGCAATGAAGGCTTGGTCTGGTGTACGAGGGGGGCGCCACGCTGTATGTCGTACGAGGAATGTTTGGGTGAGGGGGACGTCATCTTAATATATTCCTTCGTCACAAAATTAGTTTTTGGTGGGTCCGCTGTGAGATTTTAGAAGAGAAAAGTCTCGATAACTAACACACAGCGTCGCATCCTGGTACTCATGAACAGAAAAACCATTGTTTTAGTAAATAAAATAATTTAGAAAAAAACTTGTGGGAAACTTTTTTTTGCAATATTTCGAAGCATTTGTTCGGGAATTGGTCATATTTAGACACATCAGATCATTTCAAACGTGTTCTTATACTGACTGACTGACTGAGTTTTAGTTTTACGCCGCTTTTAGCAATATTCCAGCAATATCACGGCGGAAACAATTGAGAAATGGACTTAACACATTGTGCCCATGTGCGAACCCGGTCTTCATTCAACGCTTTAACCACTTTCCCCACCGCCCCTGATAACAGATGATAAAAACATGGCGGAGGTAGCCATTGCTCTTCATTCTTTCGAAACAATTCTTTTGTTGTTTGCGGTTTCTCATGGAGATTTTCTCTCATAGATGGTATGAATAGAAACATGAACGACTATGGCGCTACAGAAAAAGTTAGTATTCTGTTCGTACTTCAAAAACTTAAAACAAATTTAAGAGTGAAACGTAATATTCGTTTTTAGCCTCAATTGTTTCTGCGATACAGCTGGACGCGGAGAGCACTATCGCGATAAAGAATCAAATGGTTTACTCTGAATAACACTTACCAATTTGGTACTTTCGTAATATCCTATGTATATAATCGTGTCACCACTAGTCTTGAACCCCTTCGAGGTGGATTCCACCACTTCGAGGTAAGTAAATCCTCTTTTCCTTATAGCGCATGAGTTCCTCTCTATATAAGTATGCCATAGTGTAAGTAAATAATGAATCTGTCTGTCTGCATCTACGTATATTCTCCGAATGTTATTGTTGTTGCACTACAGAGGTACCTCGTTAAACAGGTCCCTCTGACACTGATTCAGGGGGGCTGAGATGGGTGCAAGAATGTGCACAAGTAAACTCTTTTTCAGACACCCTATGCTCGAACCTGTCCACTTCGAGATTGGGAGATTAGGGACATAAGTTGAATAAGTATTATTCCCATCTCCATCTCCTCCATTTATAACGAGTACCTTCCTCTGTTTAATATGCCAAAGTCAAGTCAAAGGTGTTTTATTGAATCAAAGGCCATAAGCCTATATACAAGTTTACGTAAATACACTGGTTGAGATTATACCGATTAGTAGATACAGTGGAAAAATAATAATATAACATTCATTTAACGATTGGTGGTAATCAGAAGAACTTTTTAGAGTAAGGTAAATCTGAAATCCCATTCAACACGTTATTTCTTAGGTCCATTCCATGTTTTACAAATAGAAATAATTTAAATATTACATCGGCATCATTCGTTGACAAAATAGAAACAAACCCTATTCTACTCAACTTAGATGAGAAACGTTCTGGTATATATTTATTTCGTATTTAGTTCGTTTAATATGAGAAAGTACAAGCTTCATATTTGACCCTATCAACAGTGCATGCGATCGCAGGGGCGGTAGGGTAACCTAGTGGTTAAAGCGTTCGCTTGTCACGCCGAAGACCCGGGTTCGATTCCCAAAATGGGCACAATGCTTGAAGCCCATTCCTGGTGTCCCCTGCCGCGATATTGCCGAAATGTTGCTAAAAGCGCGTAAAATTGAACTCACTGAAATGCGATCGCCCCGATATGATGCTTGGGTGCTGATCAATACTCACTCATACACAACATTTTATTTTTTTTATTTTAAGCTCTGATATGTTAAGATTGTGTTGCTGGGATAATGTGATTACTGGCGGCATCAACGACGTCAGGAAACCACGTCACGTCATACGTTTTCTACGTCATACGTTTTCTAAACTTCTTCAGTCCTACTGAATCCGAAACAAATCGTCTGTATTAACGAGGTACCACTGTATAGAGCTGACCTTAGTCTGTATCTACCTCTATTGTAGCCAAAGTACGGAAGTATACATTTCTATTCTTTGTCTTATGTATCCCGTTCTCCTATCTTGTACCCGTACATGTATATTGCAATATTAACAGTATATTTCTCATATTAACTTCACCTCTATTCTGCCATTAGCTATACCACTCACAACCACCAGCTCCAGCGACGTCACGACGACGACCAGCCAGGGTAATTAGTAGGGCTGCGCAATATAACCGGTTTACCGGTACTTACCGGTTCAGACATGAAAACGATACGTATTGCGATACGCTGATCGAGAACCCGTATTTTGACATGCATTCGGAAAACTTCGTAACACTCGGAAATCTTCGGATATTTCCGTTTTTTAAATTGTTCCTTTCCTAGTTCCATTTGTGCCAAACATTTACATTTATATTTTGTCATGTTAAAAGTTTTTATTAACGCCTAATCAAGAATTGTGATTTGTTGCGTTTTTGCTTTATAAATCAAGCATTAACTCGATTATACGTATTTTTTGTAAAAGAAAACTTTTTGCAATATATTGCAATACATATCGCAATTCATGCTTTCGCATCGCAATTTATCGCAATATGAAAACTCCTTGCAATACCCACCCCTAGTAATTAGTTTCATATTCATAATTATACATTCCAACCGTCTTTTGTGAGATCCAGTCGCCAAGGCTACGTAATTCGCCGTGCAGAGTTGCGTCCCTTGAGCGTGCGGTGATCCTATATTTACGGTTTGAATCCCGGATTGGGGTCGCTGGTTTGTGATCACCGTACCCGTGCGTTTCACCAGTGATGTAAACGTGTTTGATCTTCATCACTTGGATATTTTGGTACACCCTGTAATATTCTATAACAGACACGCTATGGTAAAAAAAATATTTTCTATTTCATTCCACCTTTAAGATTTTTTGTTTTTAATTTTCATCTTTCCTTACAGTGACAACACAAGCTGCAACAACAGAAACCACACCATCCAGTGATGTCACAAGTAGGTCTTCGTAAATTTGTCTTAAAATATGTTCTTACTATCTAACAGAACCACAAGCAAGTAATGATCTCTCACCACACAGACGGGCGTTTTTAACCTCAACTCTGGATATGGTTGAATTATACACACTGATATATTGTTGATACGGACCTGACAGCCAAGAAACCTCTTTATCACGATGAATGTTAATAAAATTTAAATGTTTTAAGCTATAATTACTATTTTTCCTCCGGATATTTGTAAATCCGAACGAATTAACATAATATCCTTGACATAATCGGATTAACGGGGTTTCATTGCATAGAAAATACATAAATTGTTAAATGATGAATATTCATAATTTATCATTCTAATAGGCAATAAAATGGAAAAATATATAAAATTATTTATGTATATAATAATGTATATTATCATAATCATAATAATCATCATATCCAAAGTTCACTTGAATTGCCTATTTACCGATACCGCATTGTGTCACAAACACTGCCTTTTGAGTTCTTTTGTGTTCGAATCCTAAATTCACTCCGATTCGGACCATTGGTTTTCTTGCGCCAAACCCGTTTTCATGAGTTTCCATAGAGGTAACCTTAACTTACCTTTCGGGAGATCCTCATATTTTACGAGAGTGACAGCCACGATGCATCCTAATTTTTATTTAAAGTGGCACTAAACTTACCCATTCACTCACTCACTCACTCACCCTCACTGTAGTTTTCGAACACCGTTGGTAATAAACGAGATGGTTGATCTGGCCTCGTGTTGCGAACGTAAGGAGTTCGCCTCGATGAGAGTCTACTATGCAGCTCTAAACACTCTTTATTGCAGCTGAAAAAACAACAGTCGACAGCGACGTCACCACAAGCCCCAATATAGGTATTTATTATGTATTTTGTGAAATAATGTTTGTATAATCAGTAAGAAAATACGTAATACATATACATAGAACGTCAACAATTGTTTTAGTCTTAACCAATAATCTGGCAAATTTGCACCTTTTATGAGTGCCACTTCACTTCGAGATTTGGTCTTGGGGTATGTACTATCTTTCTTGGCTGAAGTTCCCTAGGTCTGTAGTCAAATATAAATACACATGTCCAGTAAGCTTAGAAATATCGTGTTTTTTTCTGTTATCTAAGGCAATATTGCATTTTATTTGAAAGACATTGATCTGTATCTTAAGCGAGTTCGCTGGTGGGCAATTGTACTCTCTGGAGGCTGAATCAAAGTTTGCTGGAATCTTTATTGAGACCCAACTATCTTTTTGCAGCAGAGAAAACGACTTATGACAGTGGCGTTATGACATCCCCAGATATAAGTATATATGCATATATACACGTGGTATTATCACTATACCTTAATTAATCTCAAGCTTGTATCCTGTATCATTATTCGTTGAGCAAGAACTAAGGCGACATTGAAGTAACAGTAAAACCGTTCTACCCATACATTGAAGGTTTCACGGCCACTGATTTGGTGCCAACCCCTTTTTGGTACATCGGATGACAAGTGCGGCTATTTTGGTATTCCGGATACCAGATTACAGTACACTGGGTGTCAATAAATGAAAAACTTCAATGCTGAAGTAGTATTAGTCTATATGACCTGCAAAGTGTGCCAAATTAAATATTGTTTTAACCCTAAGTTATGTGTACTATTAATTGTATTTGAAAATCTTAGTCTAATATACTTGTGCCCGCTATGTACAATAATATTATTTACGAGTTCATAAATTGATATCCAAAATAACTAGGTGGTATGCCGTATGCCCACAGTTGGGTTGGCATGTCAATGCACAAACACGGGCGGTTGGGTAGCCTAGTGGTTAAAGCGTTGGCTCGTCATGCCGAAGACCCGGGTTCGATTCCCCACATGGACACAATATGTGAAGTCCATTTCTGGTGTCCCCCCGCCGTGATATTGCTGGAATATTGCTAAAAGCGGCGTAAAACCACACTCACTTAATCAATCAATGCACTAACTGTCGTTGGGGTTCGACAAGGAGATCATTCGTCACCGCTCGCTTTCATTCGGCATGTCCCGGAATGATACGAGTAGTTACGTATACGTACGTAGTGTTGGCCGTTAAATTCAGGAATGTTGTTGGTTTAACTTATAACCCATTTCCGGCGACCGAACATTTTTAACCTTTACTTTAGAGGTCAAAAATGAAAAAAGCGCATGTAAAATCTACTAACCCGTCCCTCTCTTCTTCCGGCACTGAACCAACCCGGCCCGTCTCTTTCCAATTACACGTTGGTTGACAGGAATAAGATTTTTACAAGTCAAAAGGTAATAGTTAATAGTTTACATGATGATTTATAAAAATATAAATAAAAAGAACACATTGTCTCTCTAACAGACTGTGGTCTCTTATGTAAAGGATAAATTTATTACATACCCATGGGTAGCATTCAGTACAGCCTTGGAGCAAGGCTAGGCAAGAATTCATGTTGATATGTATATTGACTAACAAATCGAATAAAGGTCAGGGAAACATGCTGGATTTGAGAATGGACAGTGGTTCGAAAATTCATATATTCGGGGTCAAGAGTGGGTATATTTTTCAGGGTGAGTTAGCAATTCTCGTTGCGTGGGCAGTATTTCAGCCATGTTGTGAAAGGAACAATTGGGTCTGTGGTTAAACAAATTCACCACGACAGCCGGATGTAAAAGATTCGAGACCGGAAGTGGGTTATATTAGAAAAGACAACACTGCAGTCGCTATTCTTTGATTGGTTTAAATAAAGCTTCACTTTCCCTTTCAATGTGGCAGCGATTATGTTTTATCCGAAACGTTTATAAAACCTCAGTAACAAACAAATTCGTCTTTCGATATTTCTTCAGCCGAGGAAACAACGCTGGGCAGTGACGTCACAACAACTCCGAACATAGGTATATTCAAATTGATATTTTCCGAAATGAACATATGCTAAAATATCAAAAATGAAATAAAAAATATTCCAGTCGACAGAACGGGTGCATATAGATGGGAGTCTCTATAACGCATAGGCGGATCCAGGAACACCCCCACCCCTTGATCCGCCCATATAACCCTAAATCTACATCTACATCATGTTTTTCTGGCCTTAAATTCTTAGGTATGTAATAATATCCTTGACCGAAAGCTAATCTATTTTTCAGCTGAGAAAACAACAGTTGCTGGTGATGGCACAACAACACCGCAATTAGGTATAAAATTTACTCTTTTCGAGAAAACTAATTATAACATTTCAAATACTATTATCCGGATCACTGATCAACGGGTTTAAGCAGAAAGAGAAGGTCTATGTCGCCTGGATTTAATTAAAGGATGAACTTCAAGTATATTTTCGTTATTTCCGAACTCAGAAAGACATGATACAATTATAACTGGATTTAATTCATATGTATATACGGAGGTTCTTAATCCCAAAGACCCGTGAAGGTCCGGTTTAGAACATTGATCTTCAGTAACGCATGCTTGTCGTAAGAGGCGACTAACGGGATTGTGGGGTCAGGCTCGCTGACTTGGTTGGTCATCGTATCCCAACTGTGTAGACCGATGCTCATGCTGTTGATCACTGGATTGTATGGTCCAGACTCGATTATTTACGGACCGCCGCCATATAACTGGAATATTGCTGAGTGCGGCGTAAAACTAAACTAGTGCGGCGTAAAACTAAACTCACTCACTCACTCTTAATCCCCAAATAATCTTTTTTTCAGCCGAGAAAACAACACTTGCTAGTGATGGCACAACACCACCACATATAGGTATAAAATGTACTCTTTTCGAGAAAACTAATTACACAATTTCAAGTACTATTATCCGGATCACTTATTAACGGGTATTCGCAGAAAGAGGATGTCTATATCGCCTGGATTTAATTAAAGGATGAACTCCAAGTATATTTTCGTGGATGTCTATATCGCCTGGATTTAATTAAAGGATAAACTCCAAACTGAGAACTCAAAATGACGTTTCGTGTATATAGTGCTATATCTAAATCATGTAATGGCCTAAAGACACTCGTCAATGCGTAGTAACGAAAACCCCTGTGTCACGATCTCCTTGCAGAGACAACAGAGACAACAAGTCATGGTGGTGTAACCAGTCCGGAGAAAGGTAACTGGTTCGTGAGGTTACATCCTCGTTAATCCAGTGTATTATTTTTCATTCTGTTCGGATAAAAATAAAAACAAAAATGTTTACCACCGAAAGGAATGTAAATAAATAATTACAAAATAGAACAAACAAAAATAATCCTACATCCTTGAAACAGACCAATTCTAGCCCGGATCTCAACGGGTAATGGGCTATGACCAGGTGGTGTATTGGCCCATCACAAATACTGGTAAGCAGCTCTTGAAAGCTCGTATGTTCCGGAACATTCGTGTTAGAGTTGGTCTTCAGTAACCCATGCTTGTCGTAAGAGGTGACTAACGGGACCGGGTGGTCAGGCTCGCTGACTTGGTTGACACATGTCATCGAATCACGGTTGCGTAGATCGATGCTCATGCTGTTGATCACTGGATTGTCTTGTCCAGACTTGATTATTTACAGACTGCCGCCATAAAGCTGGAATATTGCTGAGTGCGGCGTAAAATTAAACTCACTCACTCACTCTTAATCCCCAAATAATCTTTTTTTCAGCCGAGAAAACAACACTTGCTAGTGATGGCACAACACCACCACATATAGGTATAAAATGTACTCTTTTCGAGAAAACTAATTACACCATTTCAAGTACTGTTATCCGGATCACTTATTAACGGGTATTCGCAGAAAGAGGATGTCTATATCGCCTGGATTTAATTAAAGGATGAACCTCCAAGTATATTTTCGTAAACTCAGAACTCAGAGTGACGTTTCACACTTGCGTTGTTTTTCGTTTATATAGTGCTATATCTAAATCATGTAATGGGTCAAAGACACTCGTCAATGCGTAGTAACGAAAAACCCTATGTCGCGATCTCCTTGCAGAGACAACGGAGACAACAAGTCATGGTGGTTCAACCAGTCCGGAGAAAGGTAACTGGTTCGTGAGGTTACATCCTCGTTAATCCAGTGTATTATTTTTCATTCTGTTCGGATAAAAATAAAAACAAAAATGATTACCACCGAAAGGAATGTAAATAAATAATTACAAAATAGAACAAACAAAAATAATCCTACATCCTTGAAACAGACCAATTCTAGCCCGGATCTCAACGGGTAATGGGCTATGACCAGGTGGTGTATTGGCCCATCACAAATACTGGTAAGCAGCTCTTAAGAGCTCGTATGTTCCGTAACATAACATCCGTGTTAGAGTTGGTCTTCAGTAACCCATGCTTGTCGTAAGAGGCGACTAACGGACCGGGTGGTCAGGCTCGCTGACTTGGTTCACACATGTCATCGTATCACAGTTGCGTAGATCGATGCTCATGCTGTTGATCACTGGATTGTCTTGTCCAGACTCGATTATTTACAGACCGCCGCCATAAAGCTGGAATATTGCTGAGTGCGAAATATTAAACAACAAACAAAAATCGTATGTCCCGTAACAAACGATAAGGTATCCATCGTCGATACCTTAAAATACTGACAAGTACTGCAGTGAATTATGCTGTGTTATTGATAAAATGTGAAAATCTCCTTCCAGCTGGATCAACGCCTGGTTCTGGAATAACGAATACAGGTATTGTTCTCACTGACCACCGGGTGTTCGGTTTAGGGATTCCATCGTTGTGTTCATGCATGGTTCGTCACAGCACACCAAGCATGTCACTGCATAAACATGAGCATATCATGTCATGTGCACATCTCTAAATAATGTTTATATACATAATTTGATTTTCAAATGATTTTTCAATTTTTGTTTGTTGTAGGTATTATTTGAAAAATTAGCCTCGATCTCGCTGCTTTCTTATATTATTGTTTCCCGATCCGTCTACCCACATTTCACAAATATATAAAATAAATGTTTTCATATGTTGGTTAAAGGAAGTTATCGAGCGATACTCTTTGACTGTGAGAGCTGAGGCAACACGTGACTTTGATACGTCATAAATGAATGTCTTGAACTTCCACATACAACTTCCGCCACCACTACTACTATCACTAATATTTGACATAGTAATTGGTCCGGGTTAGAATATTGATCTTCAGTAACCCATGCTTGTCGTAAGAGGCGACTAACGGGATAGTTCCTGAGATTTAGGGCCTGCAACAGAGAGAGCTCGATCGTGTAGTAGGGGCAGGCGTTATGGTCATATTGACAGGAGATAGGATTATAAATTGAACCCGTGGTTTGACAGGCAGCCACTTTATAGGCGGATCCAGAGGTGGGGTGCATGGGTGCGCACCCCTCCTCCCCCGTCCTGAAAGTTTACTAAATGACCATTGAAACGGGTGAAAATAAACTGTGCACCCCCAACCCTTGACCGCCCCTGCACTCGAGGGTCTTTATGGCCGATGTGTAGACGTACAGCACGATAATGTAGGCCTCATGTTGCCTCATGTTATCGATCGATGACTATATTTAAGACCCTCTAAAGAAAATGAATGTGGAAAGGGAGGTAACTCTCCAGGATCGTGTAATTAAACGGAAGAAGACGTGTGTACATTTTATGATACATTTTGAAATAAAATAAATTTCAAATATGTTATATTGTTACAGGAGCTGAGGAAACAACGACGTCTCAAACGACATCGCAAACGACCGTCTTACGTGGTCTCTTTTCGTTTACAACCACAACTTCTGCAAACGATGACTCGGTCACTACAGAAGAGTCTACAAGTAAACGTCACTCTTCTACGGCGTCAATGACGACAACTGGTGACTACACTACGACAGGCAGCATTGGCGGAATGCCAGGTCATCCTGATGGCGTCTCCAAGACAGATGCCATAACCACTGAAGGAACCAGCACCGCAGAGACAACTGAAGCTGCTTCGGATCAGACTACGGGTCCCTCTTCTTCCCCATCTGGTGACTACACTACGACAGGCAGCATTGGTAGAATGCCAGGTCATCCTGATGGCGTCTCCAAGACAGATGCCATAACCACTGAAGGAACCAGCACCGCAGAGACAACTGAAGCTGCTTCGGGTCAGACTACGGGTTCCTCTTCTTCCCCATCTGCCACTACAGCTGCAGCTGCGGGTGGTCACGTGGACAGATCTACCAATCAGGACACGACATCCAGTATCAGCACCACATCAGCTGCTTCTTCACCTACGACCATGGCGTCTACATCTGCGTCATCTTCAGCCACACAGTCAACGTCTAAAACCTTGCCTCCAGTTCATTCGACAGAAGGTTCTTCCTCTAGATCTCCCAGTTCCTCCACCGAGTCCAGTGACGTCACCACTGAAGCCAGGTCTACCAAATCAACCAGCACATCCCCTCTTGGTCCAGTGGATGGACGGATTGTGCTCGAGTATGGATGGACGGATTGTGCTCGAGTATCCAACTGATGTAAGTAGCATCGTCTTATGGTGGGACTTCCCTCACTTGGACAAAGATTAGAATAGGGACCCGTGAAGAACCCATGCGTGTCGTATGATGCGACTAACGGGATCAGGTGGTCAGCCTCGCTGACCTTATTAACTCATGTCACCGTATCCCTGTTGTGTAGATCAATGCTCATGCTGTTAATCACTTGATTGTCTGGTCAAGACTTGATCTTTTAAGGGCCGTCGCCATAGATCAGGAATATAGTGTGGCGTTAAACAACAAACAAACAGACAAGCAAACACAACAGTCCGAGTGGTAAGAGAGCACGGGTGGATCAGGCTGTGATTGGGCTGGGGAGGACCAGATTGCCAACTTTACTTGGTCTGATTTCGAACGTTGCTGGTGAAGAAATATATTCATAGCAAAACTTGTATTAACTGGTACACTTTGTTTTAGAGAGATCTCATCCCAGAACAGCTGTATATAGACATTTCAGAAAAATACGAAACAATTTTGTACGTCGCCATTTCTCTACATTCCTATAAGCAACCAGTTTCTATCACGCTAGACGCAGCTATATACCGTTCCCTCTCGAAAGAGATTGTCTTCGGATTTGTTTTACCAGAAGAAATCATACCCTAAAAACATAAAATATCGAGAAAAACAATCGCCATTATCCGAGATAAATGTCCCATTGAGCATATTTGGCAAACTAATTATTTGTTTGTTTGTTGTTTAACATCGCACTCAGCAATATTCCAGCTGTAAATAATCGAGTCTGGAACAAACAATCCAGTGATCAACAGCATGATCTACACAATTGGCATACGAGCGAGCGAGTCAGAGAGCCTGACCACCCGATCCCGTTAGTCGCAGCTTACGATAAGCATGGGTTACTGAAGACAAACTGGTGACAAAATAGCAATTATATTTAGAAATATGAACTTGAATATTAAAGTCAGCTTCAAATATCAAGTCGGATTAAATAGTTATTGCAATGGACGCGTGCAACCATAAAACGGAGGGGTTGCAACTCTCTGAGAGTATTTTTACTTACCTTTATTCCAGAATTTCGTCAATTATTCCGCGAGTGTCAAGACGTGCATGTCGTATCTCCTGAACATCTATGACGAGGAAGGACGTACTGTTGCACACACCTTCGCCGCCGACGATGTCAACGTCATGCAGGTGGATACATCCTCGACAACAGCGACCATAGTACTGAGAGTTGTGTACGGTGAATCAGCGGGAAGAGGTAAGTACGGGGGCAATCATGAGAAGAGCTGGCAATAACATTCCCACCATTTGATCTTCAGCCAGAATAAAATGATATATCATGACAAAATTACTGTCAGAATTTACTGTTTGATGAACAACACTGTGATAAATTTTAAGAGACGTCTGTTAATCTGAATTTCTGGAGGCCAAGTTGGATCCGGGGCTGCATGTGCCATTTCTTAGTTTTCGTGAGAGGTTAAACAGTTGGGAAGATATTAGGATTCTTGCTTAGATTTGGCCCAAGCAATTATTCTGGTGCTTTACGATGTTGCAGTTGTAATGGACGCTGGACACCTGATCCACATGCTGAAATATCTCCAGGAAACGAACAAACTAGAACAGTGCAGACGTAATGTAAGTATACTAAACTCGTAATGTAAGTATACAGCACCTGTAATGTAAGTATAGAGCACCCGTAATGTAAGTATAGAGCACCCGTAATGTAAGTATAGAGCACCCGTAATGTAAGTATACAGAACCCGTAATGTAAGTATAGAGCACCCGTAATGTAAGTATAGAGCACCCGTAATGTAAGTATAGAGGACCCGTAGTGTAAGTATAGAGTACCCGTAATGTAAGTATACAGAACCCGTAGTGTAAGTATACAGAACCCGTAGTGTAAGTATAGAATACCAGTAATGTAAGTATACAGAACCCGTAGTGTAAGTATAGAGCACCCGTAATGTAAGTATACAGAACCCGTAGTGTAAGTATAGAGCACCCGTAATGTAAGTATACAGAACCCGTAATGTAAGTATACAGCACCCGTAATGTAAGTATACAGCACCCGTAATGTAAGTATAGAGCACCCGTAGTGTAAGTATAGAGCACCCGTAATGTAAGTATACTGAACCCGTAATGTTAGTATAAAGCACCCGTAATGTAAGTATACAGCACCCGTAATGTAAGTATACAGCACCCGTAATGTAAGTATACAGCACCCGTAATGTAAGTATACAGCACCCGTAATGTAAGTATACAGCACCCGTAATGTAGTAGTAATGTAAGTATACTGCACCCGTAATGTAATGTATATAGCACCCGTAATGTAAGTATACAGCACCCGTAATGTAAGTATACAGCACCCGTAATGTAAGTATACAGCACCCGTAATGTAAGTATACAGCACCCGTAATGTAAGTATACAGCACCCGTAATGTAAGTATACAGCACCCGTAATGTAAGTATACAGCACCCGTAATGTAAGTATACAGCACCCGTAATGTAAGTATACAGCACCCGTAATGTAAGTATACAGCACCCGTAATGTAAGTATACAGCACCCGTAATGTTAGTATACAGCACCCGTAATGTAGTATACAGCACCCGTAATGTAAGTATACAGCACCCGTAATACAGCACCCGTAATGTAAGTATACAGCACCCGTAATGTATACACAGCACCCGTAATGTAAGTATACAGCACCCGTAATGTTAGTATACAGCACCCGTAATGTAAGTATACAGCACCCGTGTAATACAGTAATGTACAAGTGTACAGCACCCGTAATGTACAGCACCCGTAATGTAAGTATACAGCACCCGTAATGTAAGTATACAGCACCCGTAATGTAAGTATACAGCACCCGTAATGTAAGTATACAGCACCCGTAATGTAAGTATACATACAGCACCCGTAATGTAAGTATATAATGTAAGTATACAGCACCCGTAATGTAAGTATACAGCACCCGTAATGTAAGTATGTACAGCACCCGTAATGTAAGTATACAGCACCCGTAATGTAAGTATACAGCACCTGTAATGTAAGCACCCGTATATACAGCACCTGTAATGTAAGTATACAGCACCCGTAATGTAAGTATACAGCACCTGTAATGTAAGTATACAGCACCCGTAATGTAAGTATACAGCACCTGTAATGTAAGTATACAGCACCTGTAATGTAAGTATACAGCACCTGTAATGTAAGTATACAGCACCTGTAATGTAAGTATACAATACCTGTAATGTAAGTATACAGCACCTGTAATGTTAAGTATACAGCACCTGTAATGTAAGTATACAGCACCCGTAATGTAAGTATACAGCACCTGTAATGTAAGTATACAGCACCTGTAATGTAAGTATACAGCACCTGTAATGTAAGTATACAGCACCCTGTAATGTAAGTTGATACAGCACCTACAGCACCTGTAATGTAAGTATACAGCACCCGTAATGTTAAGTACAGAACACCTGTAATGTAAGTATACAGCACCTGTAATGTAAGTATACAGCACCTGTAATGTAAGTGTAATGTAAGTATACAGCACCCGTAATGTAAGTATACAGCACCTGTAATGTAAGTATACAACAATGTCAGGCATACACTGGCACCTGTTAAATGTAATACAGCAATAAGGTCTACAAATGCCTCAATGGCATAGTAAGAAAGACAGCTCCGTTCTCAGAATCTGAACCTACTCTCTGTGCCTCGGTTCAACAGCACCTGTGAAGGTTAGTATACAGCACCCTGTAATGTAAGTATCTGTTTTCACTGCATTATGACTAGCAACTACCTGTAATGTAAGTATACAGCACCTGTAATGTAAGCGCTACAGCACCTTGTAATGTAAGTATACAGCACCTGTAATGTAAGTATACAGCACCTGTAATGTAAGTATACAGCACCCGTAATGTAAGTATACAGCACCTGTAATGTAAGTATACAGCACCTGTAATGTAAGTATACAGCACCTGTAATGTAAGTATACAGCACCCATAATGTAAGTATACAGCATCCGTAATGTAAGTATACAGCACCTGTAATGTAAGTATACAGCACCCGTAATGTAAGTATAGAGCACCCGTAATGTAAGTATAGAGCACCCGTAATGTAAGTATACAGCACCCGTAATGTAAGTATACAGCACCTGTAATGTAAGTATACAACACCTGTAATGTAAGTGTATACAGAACCAGCAAAAATTAAATCCAAGGGACCACAGATTTTATTTCGATATGACCGTAGTTTGTTATATACAGTTCGGCTAATACAGACAAGTGACCTGAACCCAAAAATGTTCGTTATGTCTGTCAGTTCCTTATTAGCGTGTTCGTTATTCACGTGGGGCGGTGGGGTAGCCTAGTGGTTAAAGCGTTCGCTCGTCACGCCGAAGATCGGGGTTCAATTCCCAAAATTGGTACAATGTGTGAAGCCGATTTCTGGTGTCCCCAGCCGTGATATTGCTGAGATATTGGTAAAAGCGGCGTAAAACTAAACTCACTCACTCGTTACACACGTAGTGTACTGTTTATTGTTTTGCTGAGTATTGCGTGATGACCGTTGTTGCAGTTGGGGACGATGCAGGACTTCTACAGATACGGAGAACAGCCCACAACGCCAGCTCCGAGGTCTAGTAGCGGCTACTCGCTGTTCTATGACAAGCTACCCCTATTCATCGCCATTATTGTCATGGTAACGCTGTGCTTCCTCATCCTGGTCTTCGGCATCGTTTACCTCCGCTGCTTCCACCACCAGAGGACATGGGACAGGACTAAGGACGTGGTGAGCTGTCTGTCTGTCTGTCTGTCTGTCCGCCCACCCCCATATTCTCCCTCTATATTGTACACTCAGTTATGTTCAAACCAAATATTTTTCAACCTTGCACCCACTTGCATTGCATCAATATTGACTGACTAATACATCTCCCTTATGACAAACACGATAAACAAAACAAAAGATATATTGATTTAAACCAGGCATTTAAACCATGTCTAACGGTAGAGTTATCTCCCCTAGGAGCGGGCGAAGTTGAAGGAGACGAAGGAACACAAGGGCTTAGAGAATCCGGTACCTGACTCTGAGATGATGAAAGACGAGGCAGTCGTCACAGAGACGTCACTCACCGTCAACGGCTCCCACCCCCAGCATCCCGCCCCCCTCGATGATGACAAGGGTTGGGTGATACCCATAGATCAAGCTCCGGAGTCGCAGGGCCAGGTGGCGTTGAAGTCAGAAGATACGCAATTATAGGAATTCGTTCACCGAGGATATTGCCAGCTTTTAGGACGATAAGAAAGTTCATTTTCAATAATCTTATCAAAATAACATGTTCTACTCAAATAAGATACCTTTGGGGAGATCTTCGGGCACATCTAGTCAGCCAGTCAGTGTCGACATTTCTAAAATACTTCGTAGGAATGAGAAAAACATTCGGCCAGGCATGTCTTATTTCTGTATCTCGTGAACAAATATAATCGGGGGGTTCCGAAAGCAAAAATATCAAACTGCATCATTAAATTATTGTGTTGTTTACAATTGCTGATGCATCTATACCCAAAAAAGTAATCTGTGAACAGCGGCCGTTTTCTCCGCTAAGATAATATTGTCCAAATCGAGGTGGAAACGAAACGAAACTGGGTCGTTTTTAGAAAACTGACATCTGATTGGCTAAAGAACCCATACATCCTTAATTTAGATTGGACGTCAAAGGTCGATTGGACGTCAAAGGTCGTGTAGGGTTCATCTGAGGCAACGTTCTTTAGAGATGCCAGCTCTTGATACAGAGGGATCAGAGTAAGCGATAACATTTTCATGAGATTATTGTCAGCACTTCCACACATCCATTTCAACACATTCCTCACAGGGTCAGTGAAGAGGAATATGTGCGTGTATGTCATGGAAGATGAACCCCTTCAGATTCAAACATACTTTTTAGGAGCTATTAGTTACCACATTTATTCTACCTTCGCCAAATAGACTGAAATGTGTCATTTTCAGAAGTTTCTAATTTGTTTGGGACAATTCGAAATGAAGTCATCAGTCGATGCTTTGCATAAACTGGCTTGTGAGACGAAGTTCTTTGAAAAGTACGTTGTAAAATCAAGCATGTGTGAATGTGAATTTTATTAGCTAATTTTTTCAGGTTATAGTCACTACAAATAATATTTACTTGTTACATACGGGATAGCGTTATCGATTGTGTATGCTACTTTGATAATGAACTGAAATTTGTCAATTTAAGAAGTTCTTTTCTTTGGTTTCAACAATTCGAAATATTATTTATGAAATTATCAGCGGGCATCATGAATATCTTACCCAGATGAATATGTATTAATAATGTATCGCTTTGTATGAATTGGCTTGTCAGTCGTTGTAGATGTACATTTTATAAATCTTACATAACAGTGTGAATTTTAATGTGCCAATTGTCCCGGGTAGGTCAATATAAATAAAAATTGAACTTATTACATTATACGGGATAGATACATCGATATGATAACTTGATACAGCGTTGCAATAAATATGCAAATGAGATCACATTGCAGGAACTACTTCTAAACTCCATACATCGATGCAGTGCCTTCTTGCTTAACAACTATTCACTGGTGTTGAGAAAGCGTTGATAGGAGTTCCCGATGTCTAGGTGTTTCTGAAGAGAACAATGATTGAAATCAGTTGGCACTAATATAATCGGAGCGGCTCAGAAAAATATTGTATTCATACTCGGTTTCAAAAGCTACTTGTTTGGGCAAAATTTACGTTTTAAACATCCATTGTATTCAAAAAGACATTGTTTGATAAATATTATTACCTGTTTGATTGGCATTTTAGAAGTTGATGAATAATAAGAGAGGTATGATACTTTAAGCATGACAACTTCTTTATTACATGTATATACTTCCCATCAAAAGTTTAGACTCACTTAAAACACTCACTATGTGTGTGTGTGTGTGTGTGGTTATATCGAAGATTGATTTCTCCACAAGCTTGGGGGAACCAACTGCAAACCTTATGCAGATGAATTGCACAAGTATCATGCATCAAATTGCTGAAAAGCATGTGCAAATATCATGCATGTGAACAGCTACGTTTTGGTTTGGTTAAGAATTCGCCAATTTCCACTGATTTGATCATTTATTGAACTCATGACAACATTTCTTTTCAAAGTTACGAATTTGTTTTACAATACATCAGTTCATGTGTAAACAGTACCTTTAAACAGTAAGGAATATTTTGCAAAATTTAGTTTAGAGTAGTTGCCTGAAGTAAGTGGCTATTTTTACACTAGTGAGTCTAAACTTTTGTTGAGAAGTATATTATGATGCGACGTTTCGGAATAGATTTGTATACCGTTGTCAAGCAAGAGTGAAGTGCTATAGCACAGAACAAACTTATATAGTCTAAATGAGATTGATTAAGACAACATGGAGGTGTACATCGTAAAAAGTTAACATCAACAACAACAGTGGAGTGTAGGAAACCATTTGAAATATTATTAGGAATTCAAAATCAGACTTTCCTTCAAATATAATATTTATATTTTACCGAAATCATTGGCAATAAATGCCGATCATCGCAGCATCATGTATATATTCACGATTCGTTTCATTTTAAATTATCATATATAAAATGCCCAGCGATGTTTGAAAGAATATGGACTGTTTTATAAATATATATATACATATATATATTTAAGCTTGTTGGTATGCATGCTACAAATATAGATATCTTTGGTCATTGTGACATTTAATATCATATCATTTTAGTCAACACTGTATCACCAGTTCAAAGCTATAGCATTTTGTAACATATTAGTGTTTATTTGGTTTGTAACATGTCAATCACTTGCTATCGCACCTGCTGTAAATAAAGTAGTGTGTTTATTCTTTGGCTTCTTTTCGTTGTTTATTTACTTGTTTATTGTTAAACGCCTCACTCAGCAATATTTCAGCAAAATGGCGGCGGTTAGTAATCGATTTCAGTCGACACAGTCCAATGACTAACATCATGAGCATCGATGTACACAATTGGGATACGATGACATCCATTTATCAAGTCAGCTAGCCTGACCACCCGGTGTCCACAGTTGACCTTTATAGCGCAGATGACTGAAGTCCATTCTGAGTGAGTGAGTGAGCGAGTTTAGTTCTAGGCCGCTTTTAGCAATATTCCAGCAATATCAGGGCGGGGGACACCAGAAATGGGCTTAGCACATTGTATACATGTGGGGAGTCGAACTCGGGTCTTCGGTGTGACGAGCGAACGCTTTAACGATTAGGCTACCCCACCGCCCAAAGACCATTCTGACATGGACGGTGAATAATTAAAGTGGGGAAATGATTTGTCACCGGATTGGTTGGGGCTGTTGTTCAACGCCACACTCAGCAATATTCCAGCTATATGGCGGCGGTCTGTAAATAATCGACTCTAGACCAGACAATCCAGTGATCTACAGCATGAGCATCGATCTACGCAGTTGGGATACGATAACATGTGTCAACCAATCAGCGAGCCTGACCACCCGATCCGGTTAGTCGCCTCTTACCACAAGTAAGGGTTACTCTAACCTGGATCTTCAAGGTTGTTTGATACCAGAACGATGCCTTCAATTAATTGAGTTTGGAATGAAGCATACAATTTTATGGATGACAAGTTCTTGTTTATTGCAAAGAGCGACGTTTCAGTGTAGATTCTTTCAAAGTCTGATAACTATGGAATCCTGGAAGGGACATTGTCGCGTTGTCGCATTGTCGCGTTGTCGCCCTCTCAAATACAAGCAAAATTAAACAAAAAGCGATTCGCGACATCGCGACAACGCGACATTTCGCCCATTTGTCGCATTGTTGCGATGTCGCGTGTCGCGTTTTGGTTTATTTTGCCTCACTTTACTTGTTTTTGAGAGGGCGACAATGCGACATAGCGACAATGTCCCTTCTAGGATTCCATAGATAACAGTATAAAAATCTACATCGAAAAGTCGCTCTATGCATGAAGAGGAACACATTTTATGGATTGACAACTTCTTTACTGCAATAATCGTGACGTTTCGGTGTCGACGCTGACACCGTTATCAGGCACGTGATACCCAACATTGATTATGATGATGACGATGATGATTTGGAGATTTTCCGACATACTGCGTATTTCGAACACGAGTGCACAACATTATGCACACGGAGAATAAATGGAGGATATTTGAGCTTATACAATTGAAGAGGTTGATGTACAGTGTGATGACATTACATATATAGTTGGTGTGATTATAGATAATGGTATGAAGCCAGATGGACAAAGTGTAGGGAAGGGTTATTCTTGATTGACCTTGATTAGATGACGTCAAGCTTTAGGGATGTAATTACCTTGACCTTTGCCACTTAAAGATGTCGCTCTATGCAATAAACAAGATGGCTACGAAGCCAGATGGACAAAGTGTAGGGAAGGGTTATTCTTGATTGACCTTGATTAGATGACGTCAAGCTTTAGGGATGTAATTACCTTGACCTTTGCCACTTAAAGATGTCGCTCTATGCAATAAACAAGATGGCTACGAAGCCAGATGGACAAAGTGTAGGGAAGGGTTATTCTTGATTGACCTTGATTAGATGACGTCAAGCTTTAGGGACGTAATTACCTTGACCTTTGCCACTTAAAGATGTCGCTCTATGCAATAAACAAGATGATGCTACGAAGCCAGATGGACAAAGTGTAGGAAGGGTTATTCTTGATTGACCTTGATTAGATGACGTCAAGCTTTAGGGATGTAATTACCTTGACCTTTGCCACTTAAAAGATGTCGCTCTATGCAATAAACAAGATGGCTACGAAGCCAGATGGACAAAGTGTGGGGAAGGGTTATTCTTGATTGGCCTTGATTAGATGACGTCAAGCTTTAGGGACGTAATTACCTTGACCTTTGCCACTTAAAGATGTCGCTCTATGCAATAAACAAGATGGCTACGAAGCCAGATGGACAAAGTGTAAGGAAGGGTTATTCTTGATTGACCTTTGATTAGATGACGTCAAGCTTTAGGGATGTAATTACCTTGACCTTGCCTTGATTAGATGACGACAAGCTGTAAGGATGTAATAACCGCGACCTTTAGTAGTATAGGGAATGGTGGTTCTGTGACAGGTTCCCTATAAACGTTATTTTTGTCAAACTCCGGCCCCTGGCTGAGTGAAAAATACGGGTGAATGATGATGGACCATCATTCTCCGTCCGTGCAAATCGTTCCTCTTTTAGAGATAAGATATTGTTAGAAGTATAACGAAACATAAACGTGCAAGAGAAATTGAGATACCAGAGTTTATCATTGGATAGGTACTGAATAGTGTATGGAGTCACCTAAAGATGTCGCTCAATGCATTCATATAGTTGTATGAATTAGTTTGGTTCAACGCTGCCATGAACGGTATTTCAGTTACATCGCGGCGTGTTAGCATTTGTGGGAGAACATCCCTAAGTGATGTGGGTCTTAGACATTTACCACCTGGCGAAACTCACCAGCAGTAGTTTCTTGATGACAAAATAATCAAACCGAACCGGGGATTCGAACCCACGACCGCAGTTTTATGGTACTCCTCACGGCGGCGGCTATATACAGCGAATCGCAGTACATTAAATGGGGTTGCCTGCCCCTCATTTCCGCAACGTCTACACACACCACTATGCTGTGTTTGGGAGACGGACAAAATCCCAACCAGACAAAATGCAACCCAGACAAAGTGCAACCCAGACAAAATCCCATAGGACAAAATTCCTTTGGACAAAATCCCACACCAAAATGACCAACATAGGACAAATTCCCATTTTAAATGACTTATTGGACAAAATCCCACACCAAAATGACCAACATAGGACAAAATCCCATTCATGTGTTTTGCATGACAGACCTGTTTTTATTAGCATCAATATCACAGAAGCCTGTGCTTATGATCAATATCAGGATGAGTAAGTGAGTGAGTGAGTTTAGTTTTAAGCAGCACTCAGCAATATTCCAGTAGTATGGCGGCGGTATGTAAATAATCGAGTCTGGCCCATACAATCCAGTGATCAACAACATGAGCATCGATCTGCACACTTGGGATACAATGACATGTGTCAGCCAAGTCAGCGAGCCTGACCACCCCTTCCCGTTAGTCGCCCCTTACGACAAGCATGGGTTACTGAAGATCAATATTCTAACCCGGACCTTCACGGGTTATACCAGGATGATGCATGATGTTATGAGATTGCGTTGAATCAGGTTATTAGTGCTTATGTACATGAATTAAGATGTACAAAGATGCTGATGTCCTAGAATAATGCTTTAGATGATTACATGTACCATGATAATATACCAGGATGATGCATTATGTTATGAGATTGCGTTGAATTATGGTATTAGTGCTTTTGATCAATACTGCTTATTTATGGGCAAAATAAAAATATCTACTTCAAAATAAATTGTATGTCATTTTTCATACTGTTGGGATTTTGTCCGCAGTGTGCAGACATTTTGTCCTGAGGGATTTTGTCTGTGTGTGAGTTTGTCCTACCCTCGCTGTGTAAACATCCGGCAGCTTGGTCCTAGTAATAGGTGGAGATCAACCTCTGCATCTGTGTTGCCTTACACATCAGTAATCTAGCAACAATCCACGGCTTGTAAATAATCGAGTCCGGGCAGGTAAACCGATGGTTGATATTGTGAGACCTTTCAGGCAATCACATGCAAGCACTAAGCCGTCATCGAGATAAACTATTTGATTCATTAA